GTTAGTTGTGTGTGTGTGTGTGTGTGTGTGTGTGTGTGTGTGTGTGTGTCAAAATGGTTTTGATGAAATTTTTGTAACTACCCCTAATGCCTAGATATAACATCTGTCTGTGGTACATGTTCAACCAGATTCGTGTCACAGGTGTGACTCTTAGCTGAGCCAGTGGCTTGACTTGAGTCCACAATGCATCTGTTCTTTCCCCCAGTTTAGCTTGGTTTATGTTCCTATCAGTTGATGCTCCCATATCAGTGCATGTTAGGACAATCCAGGCAGCTATCTCATTGGACTTTGGCAGCGAGCAGAATGCCCTGAGGACCCCCCGCCCAGTAGCAGGTAGAGCAATGGATGTTGGGATGCCCTGTCAGCCTGAGAGCTGGCTACTCCAAGCCAGTCTCCTACAGTCACTGTGGTAGCTTACGCGGCTGGTGGCAGAGAATTAACCATGTGGGGTGTGAACAAAGCATGTTTACCACCAGTCTGGGTTCAGCCTAGAACAGGTCTTTGGGAAACTCTCCTGCTGTTACCCAGCCACCTGTGCGGCCCCACCTGCCGTGGCAACGGCGCAGGCATTTTTACCCTTGTGTTGTGTCTGCCTGCTCCGAACACAGAGGTATTAACCAGCTGAGCCCCATCTGTGCTAATGGTCCCACTCTTGGGAAATTCCTGGAAACCTGCTGCCCGTGTCACTAACTGGTCAAACCTCCCGCATAAATGAGACTTCAGAAGCCCCTTTTCTCCCCTGTCTCGGGGCTGGCCCTGGTGCTTCAGGTGTGCCCAGCCAGTTCCTTTCAATGGGGCACGTGGCTGGTTAATAATTAGCCCCTTCGCTTAAGCAGAAAACTCTGTACCTAATAGCCTGGGGTGCTGGACTAAAGGGCCTTGGGTCTGGCCCGAATAGCTGGTCTCAGGCCTTGGTGCCTGTATCCCACCTGGCCCGGCAGTCTCAGCCCCAGAGGTGGTTGCTAACCCCTTGCTTTCCTTCCTCAGAACCTGGGGTGCATCCTGCTCCCCTTGAAGCCAATGGTGGGGGAGGGAAGGGCTCAAATAGTAACATTCAGACCCCGCCCCAGCACGGAACCCACAGGTCCTGCCCTTGGGCATGGGGGGCTGAGTAGGTGCCCCCAGTGTTGTTCGCTGGAAAGTTCTTCGCACCCAGTGTGTGACTCCCTGTAGGGGGGTGGTTACCCCGCTCCTGCCCTGAAGGGCTTAAAACAGCCCTGGGGGAAGGTTGTGGGTGGGAGCTGCTAAACTGGGCTGATTGGGAAGCAGCTGCCTCTGGGCCACACCCCAATCAGGCCTCAGATGGCCCTATATAAAAAGGCTGTGAGCCACTGGCCAAGCAGTCTCTCTCAGTGTTCAGAGAGAGACTGGCCTGGTTGTAGGGTGCTAGAGACAGGGCACCTGAGTGGAGCAGGGCTGGGGAGCTCTAGCCTGGAAAGCCCTAGCCTGGAAAGCCCCAGGCTGTGGCCTAGCAGAAGGCAGCCTAGGGGGTAGGCCAAGGCGGCAGGTCCAAGCCCAACCTTACCTGTGATGAGTGGCCTATACCGCAGTCTGCCCCAGAGAGCGGGGGCTAGTTGGTGACTGGCAGTGGCCTTATTCTGAGGTGAGGTAGGGATAGTGGGTGTGGGTTCCCCAGGGAGGGGAGATCCTAGTACTGAGGGACTGTACTGCCAGGGGGCAGCACCCCGGATACAAGGGCACCGGGGTCCCGGAGGGACATGGGGGGCCAGAGGACAGGTGGATCACCCCCCTGCAGGGGGCGCTCCAGGATGCTGGAAGAGCTAATTCCCAGAAGAGACCAGCAGGAGGTGCTGCAGGGGTGAGTCTGCTCCTCTACGCTCCCCCTGACAGTGCCCCAGCCCGGGCGCGAAGCCCCATTGTATAGCAGTGCTTCTCAGTACTATTCCTCTGATAATAAGTAAGGGCTGGATCCCCGCTTCCCTCCCACTCTGCACCTCTATTCTGGGCAGTGGAGCCAGTATCTGCTGGGAAACCCCACAGTCTTCCCTGCCATACCCTAGCAGGGCACCAAGAATGGGGGAGGAAGGGAGTCCCTAAAGTGAGGCCTTTAAACTCCCCCAATATGCTCTAGAGAGCCCCACGCAGCAGTACCTGAGCATGGCTGCCGGCACTTCACACACGGAGTTGGATCCAGCCCAGGGGAAATGAGTGTGGGGGTGGAGCTTTCTGTCCCATTCCCAGGGGTTAGGATGCCCCATGGACTAAACCGCTCTCCTACATGGCACCAGCTGTCCCCTTTGCTGCCTGTCTCAGCAGAGAGGCCATGGAGAGTCTGAGAGACTATCTAGGATCCCTCCAAGTTGTACTAGAGTAGTGGTCCCTAAACTTTTCAGGGTTGTGCCCCCTCTTACCCCTGTCGGTGCGTTCCCCCCCC